TTATTTATTTAAATAAATAAAAATATATTATGGTGCCAGGTTTTTACTATGGGTGGTTTTAATAGATATATGTGTATATTAATTGTACAATGATGCTGTTTTAACTGTTGGTTGGGAGCCGCCTAGAGTTGGGCATAAGATGGGTGACTGTATAAATGTTTTGAATAAATAAATAAAACAAGACATTCCAAGCCAAGATATAAAGGGATAGAGAATTTTGGTCAAGTTATGTTTGTACTCCCTACCATCACTCTACAGTCACAACAAAGAACATCTTAATGACTAACCAGATTACTAGATGAGTAACCACTAAAAATAGGTGAATTATGCTGAAGAGGTAAAAAAACCTGAGATAATCCAGCATTTCTATAAAAGAGAGCTGGAGGGAAGAAAAGTTTGAAGTCCTATCTTCCACTCCACTGAGGTTCATCTCAGAGATTACTCTAATTTCCATGCCCTTTTCTCCCTGGCCATTGTGATAAGTTCCCCCCCCCCCCCATATATGATCTGATTGAGAGAGTAAACATGAGATGCTTATATTGTTAAGATAAATATATTAAAATCTACCAGCAGTCTCCAGATATTGTTAGGTGTTGTTCACTGACTTTGCTCTGGTTTTGCATAAAAAGATTCCTGATCCTACAGTGGAGGAGAGACCTCTGGTGACATAAATGGTGGAGAACATCATGCGTAGCTTAACAGAGCTTGGTGATCACCACTTTGCAAAGGGAGTAAGTGCACCTGAAAGGAAAGGAAGCATTTTTAGAAAAGATACAAACAGTGCTTTAAAGAGCAAACATGCCTTTTCCAGCCTGGAAAGGGTGGTTTCAGCAGCTGATTCTTTAGCAGCCATCTGCTGACTTCCTCAGTCTTGCACACAAAGTGTCTTCTAGTGTAATTCCTGGACTGCATTGGTTTTCCTCGGCTGGATGCCTGCCTGTTTACTGCCTGTAGTGATTTTTATTGCCCCCCTGACTATGACAGAGCAACCAGGGGTGGCTTGGCTGCCCTGCACAACAGGCAACCCAAGGAATCAGTGTTTGGTGGGAAGAGGGAAGACACTTGAGGGATGGCTCAGTCTTCACAGGACTGAATGTTTCTGTGTCTGAACTGAGGGGTTGTTAGAAAGGCTGCTGTTGTCAGAACCCTGTCCTTGACTTGGTTGGGCTGGCATATCGGGTCAACGTTCCTTTATGTGGAATCTCTTTGTGACAAAGATCAGAGATTCTAAAGCAGGGTTCCTCAACCTTGGCGACTTGAAGATGTGTGAACTTCAACTCCCAGAATTCCCCAGCCAGCAT